GATACTCCCTCTGGGAGAGGTAGTCTCAGGATATCATTGTATATTACGTTCCACAGTGTAAGGTCTAGGACTAATCCCTGAGGTACCCCTCCAATGATCAGCCTCTCTCTGCACCCTTTATCTGTAACATATCTCAGTTTCCTGTCAGTAAAATAACTAGCCACTATATTTATCAGATACGGTGGGACTCTTCTTTCTGTAGGGCAGCTATGACGCAATACCAGTTTGCTGAGTTGAATGCATTCTTAATGACTAATGCTATTACTAATAGCAATACTTTTTATTCCCTTTATCCATCGTGTACCTTTAATCGTTTCTGCTGTTGTATTTGTGACCATATTTATTGCACCCATTGGGCTTTTCTTCTTCCTGAAGCCGAATTGGAAGTCCGACAGCCCTTTAGATCTCACCAGAGATGCTTCTAAACGATTTCGGATGATCTTTTCGTACACCTTGCCTATCGTATCCAATAGACAAATAGGGCGGTATCCATTTGGCACATGCGACGGCTTATTTGGCTTTGGCACCAACACCAGTGTTTGTTTTTTCCACTTATCTGGGAAAATTTGTTCCTTCAAACAAGCATTGAATGTGCTCGCAAACATATCAGGCCTTGCCAACAAAGCTTGCTTAATAGCGCAATTAGGGATACCATCAGGGCCCGGTGGGAACAGTGTGCCAATTATTTCTTCCACAAATTCTACACAGCTTGGTTGCTCTGAATACTTTAATTTCTTCATTACCAGCTTATACGCCATCCCCCATGGGTCCTCATTAATCTCATTAATCAGTTTGTGGAAACAGTTCTTCTTGCTGGCAATTATCGCTTTTTTTAAGAGCCTTCTCCTGAGTTTGAACTCTTCTTGGTGGCTGAGATAAGCACTAGTCCCTCCCGATCTTTGGTAGCCCCGCCTCGCTCTGTTACAATGAGACCTTAGTTCGGCTATCTCGTCTGTCCACCAGTATACTGGCTCCTTGGTCTTATAGAAGCAACGTCTTGTCATTGAGCCGTCACAGGCTTTTATAATCCGTGCTAAAACCTCAGCAACTGCAGCCTGAGCTGGGTTTCTGGGTTCTGCTTCTTCCAGAATATCTTCGAAGAGTTGCTTGTCAAGAGGTTCTGGTTTCCATTTGGGTCCCCTGAGACGCAGTTTTACCCTGTTCGCCCGCTGGCTCTGCTTCAGTTCCCAGATTATTGCTGCGTAGTCACTGTGTGTATATATGTCACTAATACCCCATTCTATACGCAAGGCCAATGCACTACTGGCCTTGGTAATATCGATCGCGGAGCCACGACCGTCTCTGTTGAACGTGTTTTCACTCTCTGCTTTCTATGTGTGTGTGTGTGTGTGTGTGTGTGTGTGTGTGTTTGTGTATGTCTGTGTGTGTTTTTTTCTTTGCTCTGCGAGCTGGAAGGTGAAAATCTTCATAGGATACTGCTGGTTCTTAATTGCAGCATGCACGATTCGCCATCCATGGCGCGTAAGTACCAAAAACTACCCCCCACACGCTTCTTCTACCACTCTCCCCCGCTGTACCACCGTTAGGTATTACTTCGCGGGGGCACCTTGTTAGCGCGCTAGCAATGGTGGAATCTCAGTCGAATACCCTTTTGGCTTCCACTCCCTCTGCTCTCCACCCATTGTCTCTCCATTCGTCGTAACTCCACCAGGGGTTTTGCTAGCGAACGCGTCTAGGGCGTTCCAAGATGCTGCACTGCCGATCATCATGCTCGTTATCACTTTGGGTAGAACAAAACCTGCTCTGCATCCTCCTCCATATCAGCGCATATCGGGCAGTTAGGCGAACTGTCGTATCCGAATCTGTGGAGCCGTGGCGAGTCAGAAGCTGGGCGAGGTAATAGTTTACCAACCCATCTTCTTATGCTAGGGATAAGAACGAACGTGCATTTTGCTTTGTCGTTCTTTCCCACCTCGACTGCCATATCCTCAACGAGGCCATCCGTTCCTCGCTTCTTATAATGAGTGAGAAGGGCTTGTTGCCGCGACGCCGTTCAAAGATGCGGTTTATCTCGTCGGCCAGAATGTCGACTTTCAGAGTGCCAGCTAACACTAGCGCTGCTTCCTTCGACACGGTACGGAATGCGCAAATCTGCCTCAGGGCGCTAAGGCGATCTTTGGAGTGCCGTCTTTACAGTCAGTACACCCGCCCATACACAGCTCGCATCCATAATGATTGAGGTCACCGCAGTGGCTATGACCTTCCTCTTTGCTGTTTTAAGCCCACCCACATTTGGCACAATCCTTGCCAGCGCCATCTAGATACCTGCCGCTTTCTTCGCCAGGTAATCAATATGCCGCCTGAAGTTGAGGCGGTGTTCAATTATGACTCCCAGATATTTGAGTGCGGGGACTGATTGCACTATGTGACCCCCTATTCTTATCTTGCACGTCTCTGGCTTCTTCCGGGTACTCACAAGCACAACTTCCGCTTTGTGTTCAGCCAGCTCTAGGCCGACCTTGTTTAGCCACCCTTTGATGCGCATGATGGCCTCGGTAGCTTTCGTTTCGATTTCTGCACTTTGCTTTGCCACTACCACTATTGCTACGTCGTCGGTGAATCCAATACTTGTTGTGCTGGTGGGCAGATGCAACTTCAAGACGTCGTCATACATGATATTCCACAAGAGAGGGCCCAGAACTGACCCTTGTGGGACGCCCGCTGATATTTTATACAATTCTGTGCCATTGTCGCTTTCATACACCAACATACGGTTCGATAAGTAGCTCGTTATGGTATACATACCTTGGGACCTGAGCTCTTATAAGAGCCTTACGGACAGCTTCCCAATCCGCCGAGTTAAAAGCGTTTTTAACGTCCAGTGCAATCAGGACACAGTATTTCTTGGTGCCACCTTTCCATCTATCCCCGGCTATGGCGTCGGATGCCATTCTTACTAGGGCTGGTATGTGTTTGCGTGACAATATTGCTTTACTTACGTTCAATTTGCTGTGTTTATCTACCTGCGATCATCTTGCCCTTTCTGGATAAGTCCGGTGCGCAGCTGCTCACCTCTCACAAGAAGAAAAGCATTTCATTTTGCGTACAGACATGAACTTATTGGGATATAATTGGGCTTGTTTGATCCCATAAAGTTGATTATCGTCGAGCTTATTTTTACTAGAAGTGGTACTGTTAATTGACCTAAAACTAAACTGCAATTAACTTAATCTCTTATCTAAGTACACATACGGCAATCCCTAAAAGGGAAGTGACCTTCGACCTTATCGTCTACAATGGTTTAATTTCATCGTTTACTTTAAATAATAAAAATATGCAAGAAAACGATAGAGAAAGCTTAGGTTCAGTTATAGAGGGATTTAGAAGTGATATACATATATAATATATACAATATGCGCCATAAAGCGAATGGCTTTTCTGCCTCCCTGCTTTCTCTACATAGCAACTGGAATTTGTAGATCAAGAAAAACAATTCAGTTCACTTTTATTATAAACGTTTAAAGGAAATCGCTTGTTGCTAATAGAAAAGAAAAATATTTAGCAGCGGAGAAATAAGGGTGGATCACTCATAAATAAGATGAGCACACTTTTTTGAAGAGCTTACATGCTCCTACATGACCTACATAATGTTGTTACAGTAAAACTTATTTCTTTTTCTAAGAAAAACTTTTACTACACACCTACACTTGCTTTGTTATTGATAAGCTATTCATATCTGTTACTATCATTTTTAGTCCTTTTAAATGTGTTTAAATGTGTTTCAGTTATTGTCTGCGTTAGGTAACCCGGTTTATAGACATGTGCGGTTTTTAAGTAAGTAACAATTTTATATAATTTGTTGCACAGATTCTATAAATTTTCTAGCCACTAATCACCCCCACTAAGCTGGCCATAGTAAACTAGTTCAACGGAATTTAGTCTGTTGTGTTTATTTAACTGCGCAAAACCACGTCTGAAATGTCTGAACTTAATTGAAAGTATTATCATTATTCTCATCTTTGTCATCATTATTGTCATCATGGCGCTTGGCATCGTCATCATCATTATTATCACTATAATTCTATTTGTGTGTGTGTGTATAGGTATGTAAGCTAAGTACGTATATAACACATGCTTATGACAACATATATCTATTGTTATATATATATATGTATATATATATATATATATGTGTGTATATGTATATATATATATATATGTATATATGTATAATGTAATCATTAAACAATCATACGTATCGTAGAACTTTATATACTTCCCACACTCATGCAATATTGTTTACATATAAAAACCAAAGAGTTTTCCCCACATAAACGTGATGTAGTTTACTATAAACCATAAATTAAAACGACTACATTATCCTTATGCAAGCTTTGCCACACAACCACCAAACAATCGAACGCTAAATGGCGCGCTACGTCGTACTGCTTTGTATATATATAATAAAGTATTTGACGACTTGTTTGCTTTTTTTTTTTGCAACACAAAATTCAATTGAGTACACATATATGCTCAGTTGTCCTTGTTGCAATCATTGTCGGTCTTTATCGGTTTCGTCATCACCAATCATTGCTTTCACTATCGTTATCATTACAAGCAATTACGAGAGGAGCGTTTATTCAGAATTCTTGCTACATTTGTACACATCGATGCCAAGCATTGTCATCATCATCGCCATCATCATCATCATCATCGTCATCGTCATTGTCATCGTCATCGTCATCGTCATCATTATCATCTTCATAGACATCGTCATCATCATCTTCATTGGCTTTCACGCCAATGTTCGATTATTGTTGAACTTTCTCACTATTGTTATCGTTGTTGTTGTTGCTGTTTGCCGAGCATTTTGTTAAATCATATTTGCACGGCATACGGGACTTTTTGCCGTATAAATCTAGCAAATTCATTAGTACCGTTACAGGCTCCGTTCTTAACAGACGGTTGCTTACGTTTACTTTCGCCTTCAAGTTAATGCGTGTGTATCGCATATAACATACAGACAGTAAAGAGGAAGTAAAACAAGTGCAGTAAATAATTTCCTAACTACGTTCGCGTAAGCATTAACAATACGAATCGCAAACACGAATACCTGTACAATCAATGCAATCGCCAAGATTCTCAATTCTCGTGCAATGAATGAGCGTATGGCGCAAACCGCGTTGTGCCTGGGCAGTCTTCATATTTATTATCGCATTTACGGCCGTGTTAAGTATTAAGTGCGTGCGAATTAATTTTTTTATTTATTTTTTATTTTTGTGTTTAATCAAAACAAACTAAACTTGGTTTTGGGAAACGCAAGAGAGATAAACGATTAAAAGATTAATCTTTAAAAAAGAGAAATTTGTTTAAAAAAAATTTATTAAAGTTTTTTAGAAAAACCGCTTACCTATGCAAAGCGTTAATTAAGTACAGCTAAATATGAAGATGCTTAACTGTCATTAGCTTTCACGTTTAATGAAAAGCTATATCTTTTCTTATCAGTTATTAGAAAAGTTAATTGATTTTGTCAAAAAAAAGAAAACAAAAAGAAAAACAATTCAAAAATGCAGCGTCGTATGTCAGTGACCATACGCGAGTACAAGTTTTTTCGCAGCTTTTCGCAAAAATTCGAAAATTGGCCGAAACGTAAAGCTGAAGCGTTGTGGCGTAAAATGCGTGAACGAAAAATAGCAGGTAAGCATAACATTTAGAAAAATACATGTGCCAGCGTAAGCTGTCAGCTGTTTGTGGCTTTCTATCTGAACTTTTAGTTGCGACGACAATATTTTGGAATTTTCTTTTCCATTGTTCAGTTATGATGACACTTAGTCTTTAACCATATTTAGCCCTCACACTATATTCTTTATGAACGATTCGGAAGCTAAGACACATTTCTTTCGCGAATGAATTCCCAACCATACCTCTTGCTTCCCTACATTTGTTGCTTCATATGCATTCTGTGGAATTTCTGCCAATGAAGGACCTGCTTTCTTCCGATGCTTGACAGAAAAGCCTATCTCTCGAATCTTTTGCTGTAAGTCTCTTAAAAAGCTGCCAGAGAGGATACAAAAGAACAACAATACTTTGCAAAAGTTTCCGGGCTTTGAGTCTTTGTTTACATTTTTGTAGTATAATATGGCATTGAATGCCATTTTCATTTTGAAGGTGACTTTCATAATGTATCAAGAAAGTTAAATCGATATTTCTGCTAATGTACCTCAAATAGTTAATTATTAATAAAGGAAAATAGAATTTTTTTTTTTTAAATTTAACAAAGAATTTTTGTGTTTCGTGATTTATTTGAGCGCAGTCTTAGTAAATTCGCATTAAATAATATATTCGTTATAGGGAGGGTTATGGATGAGGATCACCAAAGGAACGTGTACTTGAGAATAACTACACTTCTTTAATTGGTCTGGTAACGACTGAGCTGATTGAATTGAGTTGCACGTTCATACATGTCAGTATAGTAATTCTCGATTTCTTTTAGAAAACTGTTATCTAAAACATCAAAACTGCTATAAGTAATTCCTCATTCAGCTCTCTATTATCGTAACAGATTTTTACTGTTCAGATTTGGACCTACGGTTAACGACTTTCGTTACATTGAGGACTATAAGGAAGGACAGATTGTAGATATGCAAATCGATGGAAAATTATATTAACGAAAAAAGAAATAGAAGAAAGCGATTACTCGGGGGATGTCTCCTTATATGGGAGACATGATGGCGGTCAGAAAGAAGTAGGGCAAGAGAAAAGAGATAGGAATTGCTCGAATTTGTCAATTGAGCTATAACCATGCCCAATCATCGTTAATCCGCACTGAGATTTGAATCGGCTCGACTATTCCGCAGCCAACGTATGATGAGCTTTCCTGCTGTGTAAAGTGATGGACGAAAGAATACATAAATGCGTGGACAGATACATTGGGATTATTGCCACAATCCAGCATTCAGCGAATAAAAAGAGAAACATGTGAAAAGACCAAGTGGTGGATGAACAAAATATATATATATATAAACGCTTGGAAACAGTAGCAATTACATAGATGAATGTCCAGACGGATGGACCAAATCCTTCGGAGGGCAGACTCCCAAGTGTTACACGCACCAATTGTTCGCATTAGAAGCAATCGCGAAGATTAACTCAACCGATAGTGCGATGGCCAAGCCTGATTGGTAAGTCCTACGGGAGGTTATAGAAAGATGGATAGACGAACTCGATATCAAACCTTACACCAGTAAAGGGAAGAGAATTTTTCGCGATTTTGTGAGAATACAACGCTCAAATCAACTCAAAATTCCATGTTAATTCGGAATACATTGGCTTTATTGGAAATGCTTATACATAGTCGCGAGTGTTGCAAGTAAAATAATGAGATCAATATATTCGCTGAGCAATTAGGGTAGAAGATATAAATATACATAATATTTATGACTAGATGTGTACATCATTCATTCATGAAATGTTCTTGGAATACCGATTATTCATTGTACTATTGTCGCTGCTGTCGCGTTCATATTTTTATTCACACTTAAAGAAATTCATTTCATCTGAAAGCTAGATGTAGACAGACGACAATGCGTGAAAATGTTTCCTTAAAAATAAATTTTTATGATTAAAAATAATTAATCACCACAAAAAGATTAACGCTGCTAATAAACGATTTTGACAGTCGGAAAGCAAACACAAGGAAAATGTTGCGTTAAATCGATCGCCTTTATACGCCCACTTTGACTTTTATTTACGTTTTCTTATAACATCGCTTCCCATCCGATTAATCTCCACTATAATGTATTCTTTAAGTAAAATTCGTATCATTATCATTAATAGGATAATTTTTCAAACTTTATTAACAATCCCAACAGTGTGTAGAAAGCCCATGCTTCTAGTGCACTTAACCTTTTTATGCACGGATTTCGAGTAGGTATAATTTGATACGTGTTCAGAGAGAAGCATAAAGTTAACACCGCCTCCCACGCATGTATACATGCGCAAGGTCTTTCAGGAAAGTACATTTAAGCGGATGCTTCATCAAGAAAGGAACTTGTAAATAATACATGAAATGCAATATTACGTAATAAGCTTGACGATCCAATGTATGGTGTTGTACTTAAAATTGCTCACAACAGCTTGCTGATCTATGCAAACATTTTCACATTTTATCGAACAACACCAACTCCCCGATTAATATGTTTGTCGAACACGATTCCGTACGTCTCTCTATTTCTTTCTCTTCCCTCACTTTTTTCTGATCGTCGCCTATCGTACACGAGTAGGGGACATGCCCTGAGTGATTGCTCATATCAAAAGGGAAAAAAGGAAAGCTCTAAGCAGGTTAAAGTAACAAAAGCGATAAAAGTAAAAGGGTTCCTAAACTGAGTACAAATACAACAACTTGTTTCCAAATATCTCCTTAATGTAGGAACAGTCAGTCGTATGAGTACATCATGGGTTTGTGAGAAGACTTTCAGCGAATCAATCCACGACAACAAGTGGATTCTCGGGACTAAAGAGTTTTGTAGTGAACATGTTTTCTCTTTTGGCTGCACTCTGTGTATTTTAACATACTTTTATGACATTCGAAGTGCAAGTTTATTTACTTGCATATGTATCCATGTATGCATGCATGTCAGAAAAAAGTCACAACAATATTAAATTCATTTTTGCTCTCACATGGAATTAGCATCACACAATAAGTTAAGTGTTTTAGATAAACACATATATTTCTATATATATATATAGTATTTATATTGCTGCATAGGTAAGCATTGACATATATACGAAAATATATGCTACCATGTGAACCCATAATAAATTCCACTGTATATGTATTAAAAAAAAAAAAAGAACGAGAGAATTGCTCCTACAATAGCGGAAATTTTTATTTTTATATAATAAAAAAAAAATAAATAAATAAAATGCAAAACAAAAAATTTCCGAGAATATTTTTAAATGTTTTGTTGACATTTATTAATTGTTATTATTAACAATAATCATTTTTTTTTTTTAAATAATATTCATTTTCATTTAATTAATTTTTAATTGATTTTATAAATAAATATCAAAGGTCATGTTCTGAATATAAACATAAGATTCTCATTACAACATGGAATCACTTTTTAAAAATTGTTCAACGTAGAAGATCATTCTCCAGACATAACGATCTCTGCAAGATCAATAAAATATACATACACACGGTTAGATAGAAAAATAGATGCAAGGTGTATTTTCCGATCCTAGGCCAAAGAAATTGTAAAAGGTAGCTTCCACACAGCCTATACAACGTTTTTAGATGTTGTAACACAATTCAAAATTAATTCCGGCCAACGCACCTGAACTAGTTCATGCAAAAATTGAAGGCTTTTATGTAGCCTCTCTATGTGGTGCGCGTCCTCTTTAAAGTTGTGCAAGTAAAGTGTATTATCATATTTTCCTGCAAAGGGTTTTGGGTTGTAAGGGTAAGGAGGAAATGCAACAAGAACTAATGTCTATTTACAATAATCTTAAATGGGTCGAGCACATTAATGCGGCGAGGAAGGAGAACGGCTATGTCATCGGCTTCGAAATCAGGGAAAAGCGTAAAAATTTATTGCCGCATCACTAGGTCGTTCACAAAACTTCGTCGCGAATGTCTTATAACCCCAAAAAATAGTATTCAGAGACGTGGAGCAATTCAAAAAATTTCTGCGGTGACCGATAATCGCATGATAACTTAGCAATGCGAAACGATCCGTTCAAGTCGTCTAAAGCAATTTCAATGTGCACTTGGAAACTTGTGGTATTTTTAAACTGAACTTCTTGTAAGGTTTTGTTTCTACTTAACTCTAAAAGCATTTTTAAATACAGAAATTTTCCTACGTTTTAAATAAATGATAAATATAGTATGTAATCGGAGCAAAACAGAAAAAAATGTCTCGCACCTTGTCCACCCTTGTACAGGGAACAACAACACATATATATATGTTATAAAAATAAGTTTCATAATCGGTTGCGTAAAATCTGAAAGAAAAAATTTCTTTTGATTAAAATATTTCTGTTGATAAATATATTTAATTATATATACATGATAATTTATATTATACACGATATTATGCACGCTACAACGTGTGGGTCTATTGTTGGAGAAGCCTTTAAATTTTTTCTTAATTCTATCGCCAATTATATCATCTAGAGGATGATTATTATTTCAATTATAGCGCCCAACAGCAAAAGAAGAACAGACAGGCAGGTACATGGGATCTGAACCATCTTTCTTTGGGCTGGTAATCAAAGATATATGCGCTTTATATCTTTTTTTACACGAATTGTTTGCTTTTGCCAATTTTTAGTTAAAATACTCAGACGCCGTGAAACATGCCTCCACATTTGTCATATGTTGCATGCGTTTCTTACACGATTATGTTTGCAAAGTTTCCCAAGGGACGCATATGCCGCGTAAAAAAAAGGAGTTGAAATATTGATAAGGGCTTATTCACAAATAACTTAAGACGTCATCTTAAGCTCTAAACCAAAAACTCTACCGTCTTGGACTGAAGTTATTGAAGTAAGCCGAAAATCAGATACGATTTGTAGATAACCATGCGATCGACATAAATGACTTCGTGATCAAAAAAAGGAATAACAAGATTAAAATGAAATTTGCCATTACGTGCGATGTATGACGTCACAACCCTGATGTAAGCAGACACATT